ATAATTTTATTATATATAATTATTTAATATAAATTTTTCTTATATACAAATATATAATACACACATTTTGTAATAATAATATAATATTATATTATACATTATATTATATATAATTATACATAATTACTTTAAATATTAATTAATTATATAAAAATTATTAAATAATAATTTTCTATATTATATTATTTTTGATCTTCTCGTCTTTTTCTCACCATTTTAATTTTTTTTTTTTTTATTTGTTATYAACGATACCTAATCGCAAGTTTCTTCGATTCAACATTTAATCTTATTAGTTGAAAATTTTGTTTCATTCACATTGGAAAAGATTTATCTTTTATCTTTTTCTTTTTTTTTTTCCTTTTTCTTTAATTGTATACATAAAAACACAATTCATCTTTAAATGAAACTATCATTCTCCAGAGTTTATTCTCATTACACACGTTATGATTGACCAATCGTTTTACTTCGTCATATATTTAGAACGATTCTATATTTATTATAAAATATTGTAATAGCAATTGTTATCATGGTTAATAGGAAGCTTCAATTTTTAATAACTAAAGTTTACATTGTACGATAAAACGAGAAAAAATGAAATAACAGAAAGAAACGAAAACACCAACAACTAAATAATAATAAAAAGAAAACGATATAGTAAATAGTTAAGAGTAATATTTCATTAAAAGGATAAGAAACGTTGCATAAAAAAAATAAAAATAAGAAAACTATTGTTTAATCCAAAACAAAACAAAAAATATAATAAATCAATAATAAAAATAAAAATAAAAAATAAAGTGCAAGTATCTTATGCAATATTTATTTGAGCGTATGCATAAACGAGAGGGGAGGAAATAAATAGAACGGTGAAACGATTAAGTAGGCAAATGTAATAGGATAAAGGAGAGTAAAAGAGAGAGTGAGAGAGAGAGGGAGAGAAAGTGAGATAGTGAGAGAGAGAGAGAGAGAGAGAGTGAAAAGTGGGGGAAGGAAACGTGGACCCAGAGGGTGGCTGTGTGGGCGGGTAGCTCACTGGTTGTGGCGGTAGCTGCATCGATCGTTTCAACTTGGTAGCTATAGTTCACCATTTCTCGTACGAATCATGGTGCCCGATCTAGGTATGCCCTGAAAAATATTATTTATAAATCATTCAAATAAATATTAATTCATTATTTTAACAAATCAGAATAAATTTCGAGCAATTTCCTGTTTTTATTTTTTTTATTTTGGAAATCCTACAAAATGCTTCCCTTACATTTGAAATATGTTTTTGATTTTTTTTTTTCTTTTTTAAATGGTAATCACATTTGATTTCTAAATTTTAATATCGACAGAATTTAGATTAAACGTTTTTTTTTATATTAAATTTATTATTCATTGCTATCATTTTTATTTAAATTAATTGATGGATTTATTTATTTATTTTTTTTTTTTTTTTACTGATTTATGTCTTTATAATGTAAATATATTGACCCTTTTATATATATATATATATTTTTTATTTTTAAATTTAATCAATTTCTTTTCTCATAGGACATTTATTCATTTTGTATTTTTTTCTTTTGCATATAAATTAGTATACAAACTTTTAGTATTTTGAATATTTTTTGTTTGTTGTTGGTTTTTTTTTTTTTTTTTTTTTTTTATATAATATTCATGCGTTTAAAAAAGAAACATCATTTATCGATTTATCTATTTTTATGAATATCTTGACGACAAAACGTTTTTTTTTTTTTATTAATTTTTTTTTCCCTTCAAAAAATATAATATTCTATTTTTATATTGAACATATTTATTTTTAACATTCATTTATCGATTCATATACATATATATGTATATAATTTCGTACAGAAATTAATTGTAAGTAAATTAGGGTTTTAAATGAAAGTAGTATACAGGAATATAAATATTGTGTTGTTTATGTTAATTGTTAAAAAAAGAAATTCTTGATCAGGATCCTTTATCTAAACGTTTTATTTTTCTTTCAAGAAAACGTGCTGTACTTGCTCAAGTACTTGTAATAATAATAGTTGTTGTAGTAGTAGTAGTAGTAGCAAGGAAATTAGTTCGAGACATTTAAAAGGGGGTGGAGGGGGCGGGGGTTGGAGGTAATGTCACGATACGAGAAATAAACAGGACTAACCGGAATGTTGTTTCGTAGAAAATGAATTTGCTAAAGAGAAAAAGAAAACAAAAACAAAAAAAAAAAAGAAATTAACATGAATTGTGTGAAACGAAACGAGAAATTTTATTTTTTTTTTTTCAAATAGAATTGAAAAGTTGTCTGTCTGATGGAAGTGAGGGGGGGGGGAGAAAAAGGGGCGAGAAACAATATAACATCATCACCTGTAATTTAATATCTATCAATGATATCAAAATTACTCGTTATTGCACCTATTCAAGGTTTTTAAATGAACGTACAATTGGAAATTAGTGATCCGTGGTAATTACTGAAACGATACTCATTTGATAATAATATTCATTTTCGAAAAGAGATGGATAAATTTATGATAAATGTATATAATAATCGTACAGAGTAGAAATGATATTTTTAATACTCAACTTTAATCCATGATCATTGATGATTCATTCCATCATTTATGAGAAATGATAAAACATAATTCAAAGTTTTATTATACGATGTATAGTTAAGTTAAATAGATTTATGATAAATTTATATAATAATCGTACAGAGTAGAAATGATATTTTTAATACTCAACTTTAATCTATGATCATTGATGATTCATTCCATCATTTATGAGACATAATAAAACATAACTCATAGTTTTATTATATGTTAAATTAAGTTAAGTTCAATTCACATTTAAGGAATCTCATTTTTGTTCGAGATAATCGATAGCAAATTTTATTAAAAAAAAAAAAAAAAAATAAAAAAATAAATAAAAACTTCAGTTAGAATCTGCAGGACGCGGGATGGGCAAGTCCTGGCTCTTCGTTCTATTTCCTGCGACGATGACGACGATGACGACGATGACGATGATGGCATACGTCACGATNTTTAATTAATAAACAGTAATTATTTTAATTAAAAAAAAAAAAATAAAAATAAAAAAAAAACAAACAGGACAAATGAGCAGGACGCGGGATGGGCAAGTCCTGGCTCTTCGTTCTATTTCCTGCGACGATGACGACGATGACGACGATGACGATGATGGCATACGTCACGATGGCAGGTGCTGGTACAACAACTACGCCATCGTTCTTTACGACCACAACCATGGTCGTAAAGAATTTCATGGAAAGTAAAAAAGTAAATATTACTCATTTACAATTTTATAATTATATTTATTATCTTGATCCATTAAATTTATAATTTTTAAATTTAAATTTATAATTTCCTAAAACCAATTCCTAATTCTTTTAAATGACATAATTATAGTTTTATATTATTAATTTAATTATTTATTATTCTTAGTATCTTTATTATATATTTTTAAATTTAAATTTAAAATTAAAAAAAAAAACATTCCTAATTCTATAAATGATATAATTATATATTTTATTATACATTTATTATATTATTAATTTAATTATTTATTATGCTTAGTATGTTTATTATCTATTTATAAATTTAAATTTAAAATTTCCTATATAAATAATTCCAAATTCTCTTAAATGACACGATATTACATATTTTATTATACATTTATTACATTATTCATTTAATTATTTATTTAATAATTCGCATCCCTTATTATAATTGTTCTATTTATTTTTGTTATTATTCGGGTTTGGTATCATCATCATCATCATCATCATCATCATCATAATCACCATCAACATCATATCATTATCATCATAAAACATTTTTCTAAAACTTACATCAGATTTATGAAATAGGCGGATATAGAAAAAGCATTGGACGTGATCGATGCAGCATCCAGCGGATCATTGGGAGAAGAATGTGTGGATACAGCAGGTTTCAAATCTTTACCAGCTGGAGCATCACTTGATCCACGTCGTTACGACATGGCACGTCAGAAAACTGATATGACTGCCATGATGTTACAAAATCTTGGTACTTCCGGTATATCACGGTACAATGGTGAGCATCATAAAACATATTTTAAATATGCTCAACACACATAATTAACACATAGTTAACATATGTTAATTATGCTTAACACAACCATTCTCTTATCTCACACACTTTCCTACTTCTATAACAAAAACAAAACAATTATTTTCAAACAAAAAGATGAATATCGTCAGAAGTTTCCCTTCCTTACAAACCACCCACCCTTATCCCTTTCTATTCCCTTTTTCTTTTCCCTTATTCCTTTCTACGAAAAGAACGTGTGTCATCGAAACGTCTATCGTAATTCGATTTAGTTTCTGACCCACTTTTCTCTTTTCATCCCTTTTCCTTTTTCTCCCACGTACCCCTCCCACGTCCTCCTCTGTTCCCCTCCGAATGCTTTTAACGTCCCATGAAAATCCATAAACCGAGCTAAAACTACGACGATAAGAAACGAATGGGCGTGGCTTGATACGAATCATTCGAGAAGATGAAAGAAAAAAAAAGTAATATTTAAAAGGAAGAGGAAAAATTAAAAAAAGAAAAAGAAGAAGAAGAAGAAGAAGGTTGTGCAGCATTTCAAAAATTGGGCACGATGATCCCCTTCTCTCTCTCTCTCTCTCTCTCTCTCTCTGTGCACACGTTTTTTTATTCCCAACTTTAGCTAGTATATTTCGCGACACCTGTCTCACCTGTTGCTCCCGTAATACGTATAGTGAGGGAAGTGATGGGGAAATGGGGGTCAGGGGGAAGACATCTTCAACTTTCACTTTGTCATATTGCTTTGGTTCTTTGCTTCTTCTTCTTCTTCTTCTTAATGTTTATTTTGTTTTTATTTATTTTTCTTTTACTCTTTTTGTTTTATCCTCGAAAAGTATGAAATCAAGTGGATGGGAAATTAATTTTCGTAACTTTATGACCAAAAAAAAAAGAAAAATAAATACGAAACGTGTTGGATTACGCGTATCGTTTTAATAACGATCGTTGGAAAAATGTTGAATTTGAAGTTTTTAGCAAGCGGAAGATCGAAAGTAGGTCAAAAGCTTGATACTCGAAATATTAGACACTTCTTCTTTCTCTATCTTTCTCTTTCTAACTTGTTAATCTCTCCGGTCTAAGTTCGTGTGTTCATAAAGACGGAAAACAAAATATGAATGCATGTATGTATGTATGTATGTTTGTACGTATGTATGTAGTTACAAACGAGCAGGTTTATTGCATTCGTGATTCTACGGAACAATAAATAGAGTAATATCAATGCAAATATGATTACAGTGAAGGAATCTAGTACTCTGACAACGTACAATGTAAAATTGTATTCGTGTAATTCAATTTAAATCAACAAATTCTGATCTTGATCATACGTGAAAGTAATTGGTTTTTTTTTTTTTTAATAATAGTGTTCCGAAAGATTTTTTCTATTTATCTATCTTTATCTTGATAGATAATATCGTTAGAAGAAAAGAAATATTTATAATATAATAGTATTATAGAATATATATATATATATAGATATAGAAAAGAAAAAAATTAATAAATAAAATCTCATATTATTTATATCTTTTTAAAAATCGAAATAATTATATATATAATTAGAATAATAAAATTTTTATAACGTATATTAACACTTTAATGGCCACACATGTACGCACTCAAACGTCGTCAGGGACCCGGTAATATTTTTTATAAATTAATTTAAAAAAAGCTTTATTGTCATTCACGAAACAATTAACATAAAACAAAAAACAACAATTTAACAACAAAATTAATTTTATATATATATAAAGTTATAAATAAAATAAAATCAATGTTTCGGCTATCACACACATGTTGTGTGAACGGCCATTAAAGTGTTAATATAATTAATTAGAATAATAAATTTTTGATATATTAATATTTCATATATTATATACACAATTTGTATGTATTAATATTTTAATAGATAATATTTGAAAAGATATATTCTATTAATTGATTATTTTATAATTTTGTATTGTTTAACGAACAGATAAAGAAAAATTTTAAAAGAATATAAAAAAAGAAAATAATTATTTAAAAGAAAATTATTAAAAAAAAAAAAAAAGATTGTTATAAATTTGTGTTATCTTTACGTATTTCATATATTTCTTCTATAATAATTAAAATACTATACAATTTTATATAAATTACGTGCTCATACTTAATAAAATAATTTCAAACGATATTTAAATTGGAAAAAAAGAAATATTTTAAAAATATACATCATAGGTACGTCAAAGTAACGTCAATAAAAAAAAAAAAAAAAAAAAGAACAAATAATAAAAAAATACTTCATATTTAATTATCACTAATTATATGAATTATATATTGTTATTTATTTCCTAAAAGAATTTAAATATTATTAGTTTAATACGATATTTTATTGAATATAAATTACGTGTGTTGTTAAATGATGGGTAAAGGAATAAAATGTGCATGGTTTTACGAAATAAGGAAGGAAGGAAGGAAGGAAGATAGGAAAAAAGGGGATGAAAGGAAGGAAGGAAGGAAGGAAGGAAGGGATGAATGAAGGTAGGAAGGAAGAAGAGAATGTGCACAGACATTCGAGTTTGAGAGGGTTGCTCGCTCGTCTATCGATCACTCGACACGAAAGCCCCACCTTATCACCTGCGTTGCGCACCTCTACTCCAAAAACTCCTACTCATTTTTTACATCTTCTTCTTCCTTCTTCATAAATTTAATTATTTTAATATTTACGATTTATCGTACGAGAACAAAATTTATCTTATTGGTCTTGTATATAATATAATATTATAATATTATATTATATTATATTATATATAATATATTTTATAATATTATTTTTTAATATAATAATAATTTATATATTACATATTTTATATAATGCTATAAAATATATATATATATATATATTTTATTATATATATATAATATTATAAAATAATAAATATTAATTTATTGATTTATTATATTTTATTATAAAAAAAATAATAATTATATATATTTTTTTTTTAAACCAACAAGTATAATTAATTATTTTCATAATAATCAAAGATACGAAAAACATATTTAATTTAACAAATTAATAAATTAATTAAACTAAACGAATGATTAAAACAAGATTATGATATTTAGGATTATTGGACGTGTTAGCAAAATCATTGCTTCTATCGGTGAACGATGCAGTTGAAGCAAGGGTGATTGCATTGAATGCATCGACAAAAACCGTGATAAATGCTGTATGGCTTAAAAGAAGTCCAGGAAGCGTAGGTGAACCGATCAAGGTCGAAGATCATGCATTACAACCAGGATCCAGGCCGAATTCTAATCTACCTTGGTTTGAAGATACCGGTGCCAGTTCGGGATTAAGGTTCGATGGTCTTCCTTGCACGACATTTTTTTTTTTTTCTTTCTTTTATCACTCATTTTCTATCTCATATTTTTTTCTTTTTTGGTTTCTTAACTTTATGCACTTGTAACATTTATCTAAATCTATTATTCTATAATTATACTCATCACGAGAGTTTATTTTATTTATTTTTTTTTTTTTTTTTAATTGAATCGATTTAATTGACGGATTTTGAAAATTATTTAAATAATGTTAATTATTTTCTGGTTATTTTTTTTTTTTTTGGAAAAGAAAAGAAAAGAAAAAGATAAGCTCTTGTATGGGGATTTGTTTTTATATATTTTTTTTCTTTATTTAAAATAAATAAAAAATAAAGAAAATTAATAAAAGTGTTAAGTGGAAAATTTGAAGATGAAGATGAAGAAGATTTTTTTTTTTTGTGTAATTTTATATTCTTCACATTTTTCTTAATATCTCTTTTTATCTGACAAGCTTTTTTGCGATTGGTTCAAAGAAAAGAAAAAACAAAAAAAAATTAATTAAAAATAATGTAAATCAAAGATCGCAACACTTTTGACAGGTGTGAATTTATTTTTTTATTTATTTRAAAAAATCGGATATTTATGATTACTTCAAAAAAAAATAGGATGTAAAAATTAAATAAAAAAAGCAATTGACTGATGGAAAATAAATGGAATATGGTATTTTACTTTGTTCTAAAAGTCAAACTTGTAGTTTGTTAGTCATTTGAATTTTCTCTCTCTCTCTCTCTCTCTCTCTCTCTTTTTGAAGCTTTAGTTTGAAACTAGAAATACAAAGGTACTACGTTATAAACTTCAATGTTGCAAATCTGTTAAAGTAAATTTTGTAATTTCCTAAAAGAGATAATAAATGTTGTTTTTTTTTTTTTTTTGGATAAATATGATGAGTTCACGTAAATTTCGCGTTAATGTAAATTTGTATAAGTGAATAAACGTGTTTGACAAAAGTTACAATAATCTCATCTACATCGTCATTCTTTTTCTTTTTTTTGTTTTTTTATTTTTTTATTTAATTATACGCGATACGTTTATTATGCAAGTAATAAGAAAAAAAAAAACTAGAAAACAAAAGTACAAAGAGAATTTCGTTTTTATTTTAATTATTATTTGAATGAAAATCTCATTGATTTTATTGAAAAGGTCAAAGTTTTTCGATTTACGTATCTACGAGTTTTAAATTTGAATTGAATTTTTTGAATTATTAAAACAACGAAGATATCAAATTCTTGGGGATTTGTAAAATATTGAACCATACGAAAAAAGCTTTGTCACCATTTATTTCTCTCTCTCTCTCTCTCTCTCTCTCTTTCTCTCTTTCCGTTTCTTTCTATTCTATATTTAAAAAATATTTCAAATATTAACCTGCACGCACGCACACGCACTGCCGAATTTAATTAATTATCCAGCACCAATACATTCTCATATTTTAGATTGATTACCATTTTCCAACGGTAGAATGTACATACACACACACACGCATATATATATATGACAATTAAAAAATTGTAAAACTTCGAGTTAATAATTCGAATTTCATTTTCAAATTCAAAGTGAATCGTAAAATCTAAACTGTCATGTGATTTTAAAATTAAGGAAAAAAAAAAAAAGAATAAAAACAACTAACGTGAAAAACATGAGAAGAAAAAGAAAAAATTACATTCTACCGATGAAATAATAATTATAATCATTAACGATTAAAAAAAAAAAATAAATAAATAAAAAATAGGCGTTTCACGATCATTCATCATCCTTCATCATCCCGTATTAGCGTCAGGTCATAGAAACTCGATATACAATATTAACAATAATTAACAATAATTAGCTCGTATATAAATTGTTGTTATTTTGTCGATAAGCAACGTTCTAACAACGATTCTACGTAACATGTTTATTTTGATCATCGTATATTCTTCATTAATATTAATAATGATAATTATTATAATTAGTATTATTCTCGAGAAATAATTCAATACATTTGAGAATGAAATTATGTAAATGAAAATTATGTAAATTGATAGTTTCACATTACTGTATTGATTTACGATAAATTGTACTATTGATTATTACTATTATTAATATTATTATTRTTATTATATTCGAACAAAGACTATAGCAAACTTAAAAATAAGACAAATTTTTGTTAAGAAGAATAAATTTATAAGGTTCTGTTAAAAGTACGAAACTTGAGATTTTTTTTTTTTTTTTAAAGGCTTTAAACATAATTAAAGATAATTTTTTTGAATTGGTATTCCACGTTAATACTCAAATAATAAATAATAAAAGAAAAGAACAATAAAATATTTATATAAAATATTATATAATTTTTATACACATTAAAYTTATATAATTTATATTAATAATATTATTTAATATTTAAATTATATTCAAATATTTAATATATATATATTTAAATGATTATAAAAATATTAATTTATACAATAATTCAATGATCGATCTTTAATCGAATTTATGTTTTTGTACAAATCACTCAAACGATATTTAATTTTATTATTACTTTGAGAATAACAATAAATAATATAAAATAATATTCATAATTAAAATTATAAATTTGGATAATAATACAAATTTCAAAATCCGATCATACGAACGTGGTTAACCTTGGTACTTTCGGTGTTTCTACCAACACATTCGCAAAAAAAAAAGAAAAAATAGTAACGTGAGAACGGTGTTAAAAAGAAAAAAACAAACCCAAAAAAGAAGAAAAATACATCAATGAAAATCGTTGAGAGAACGTTTGCGTTGACGCGGGGATGACCGTGAAGTGCCAAAAGAACAAAAAGACCATCAAACGAAATAAAAAAAAAACAAAAACAAAAACAAAACTAAAATAAAAGGAGAACAAAAAGAATGGTTGTTTTTTTAGTTGATGGCGGAGGGTGAGGATGAAGAGTTGGGTGGCAAGGGTTTCAAGGGGGAAGGAAAAGGCAAATGGACGATTAAATGAGGGTTGGGGCGGGTAGAAGGGGAATAGGGGATTCGTTCGTTCGGCGTTGCACGAAGCACGCGTGTTTTTGAAAAAAAATTCAGGTCGAAGTTTCTATGACGGTTGTGTGGCGTTTGCGTGTGATCCCAGGTCACCGAAGTTCATGCAGTCACCGGCGATTGAATCCTACAGGGGTTGGTGGACCATCCCGTATTTTTCCTGCAAGACACGCCAATGGCTCATCTCCTACAGTGTCAACGTGCGTCCACCGGATTCTCGACTTGGGTTCGTACCATCCCCCCCAAATCCCTTTTTTTACCTCCTTTATTCCTTTATTCCTTCTTACATTCCTTTTTCTTCTTATAACTTATTATATTATATTCTAATTCTTTTATCTTTCATTGTGGTTTGCGATTTATTATAATCTTGACACTAGAGAACTGTCAAATCAGTCAAAATAATACATTTTTATAAAATAAAGTGTTCTTGATTTTTGTTAGGATGATTTAAGGATGATAAATTAAACGTTTAATTATTTTTGAAATAATAAATCTACTATGTTTGGTTAAATGTTAGGATTTCTGTTATTTTGTAAATAAATTCGATGATAACGTATTGGTTATTTAATTATTAATAAATAAAATAAAATATTTACAAATACTAAACCTATTACGCGACGTTAAATTATCGAGTTCTGTAATTTGTAAAAAAAATTCTATGTGTAAACGCATTCGTTATTTAATTATTAATAAATAAAATTAAATATTTACAAATACTTAGCTTATTACGCTAGGATAAATGTTAGAGTTTCTGTAATTTGTAAAAAAAATTTGTTGAAAACGCATTTAATATTTAATTATTATTAAATAAAATGTATATAAAATATTTTTAAATACTTAATCCCTATCACGCAAGGTTAAATAATCGTGTTCTGTAATTTGTAAAAAAAATTCGATGTGTAAACGCATTCGTTATTTAATTATTAATAAATAAAATTAAATATTTACAAATACTTAGCTTATTACGCTAGGGTAAATGTTGGGGTTTATGTAATTAGGAAAAATATTTGATAAAAACGCATTTGATATTTAATTATTATTAAATAAAATAAAATATATTGTTTATTGTTCCAATTGAATAAAATATTATTCTATATAAAAATATATGTTCACGATAGGAATAAGTATAAATGAAGGTATTGGTAGGTTTAGTATTTAAAAAAGATATTTTTTAAACAAACAATTATAAATAAAATTATTATCATCCTTTACAAATAATTAACAGTAAGATATCGATTATTACAGATCAAGCAATCGTATTATTTGTTTAGTACAAACATGTGTGTCATTTATTAAATAATTGAATAATATTTTATAATTAATCATTTTGACTGATTTGATAAAATTAGGTTGAACATTAATTGCCAGTAGTTTTATTGTTACATTTTATTTATTTTTATAATAATATTTTTTTTCATAATTCGTCTAATCTTTTAACATTAATAAAAAAAAAAAAAAATTGAAACTATGATTAAAAATAAAAACTGGGCTTTAAAAAAAAAAAAGAATTATTTATAACACTAGATAAAATCATATTTCCTATCTCTATTGAACAATCTTTTTCATTTGAATTGTACGCAAAGCATAAAATCACGTTGGTTATTTTTGAAATCAGCTTTCCATTGGTTCGTCCTTGTTATAACACAATTCTTAATCAAAGAGAAAGTTTTGAAGTAGAGTTGCTTGTTTCGTATAATAATTAGTTTTATCTCAAACATCTATTTTCTTATTATGTTTATGAAAAATATTCATTACGTATATCATAATTATTAAAAACAAACAAAATAAAGAACCATGTAAGTATGAGTTCCTGTAACAAAAAAAAAAACAAAAAAAAAAAAAGAGAAGGAGCTAGAAAAAAATAAAAAAAGAAACCACGTAAAATCCTTTCTTAGATTTCACACGCTTTTTAAAAATATTATTATTATTAATTATTCGAAAGATTAATTCGCCAAATGCAACAAACATTTAGATAAATAAATTCTTGCCGTTGTTTATTATTTTCCAAAGTGTGCGAGAATTTTTGAGCATGGATATTGATATCAGCGGCTTGGAGGTGAATCAATGCAATGCATCCCCCTATGGCGATAGTACATCGTCGAGTAATCAAATAGCATCCTTTAGAGGCACCCACAAGTGTCACGACGATACAACCCAGGTAATTTATTTGTTTTTGTTTTTTTTTTTTTTTTTTTTTTATTAAAAACAAACAAATTTATTTTGTCATTAAATATTTCTAAAGTTCATTTTATTCCTAGTTCCTATCTCGAATAAATTTTGGAGAGAGAAAAATACAACAATAAGATCAAATATAAAATAAAAATTATTCATTTTATATATAATATATTAAATAATATTATAAATTTTCATTTTATATATAATTTTATATTACAATAATTTAATTAGATATAATATTATTATAATATTACTATAATATTTTATTATATTAATTATTATATATAATATTATATTATTCATTTTATATTATAATAAAATTAAGTGTATTTTATTTTAATATAATTAAATTAAATTATAAATTAAATTATATATAATTATTTGTTTATAATATTATTTTTATTTCTTTTTTTTTAAGATTAAATTAAAGTTATATATATATATATATAAATTATATACAAAAATTATTTTTATTTTATTCGAGTAAATGAAATGAAACACAACATCTATCTCGATATTTCGGAGTATATTTTTTTTTTTTTTAATTTACAGTTGACAAAACTAATGCATTTAATCTAAATTGTTAAAGATTATATTTAATGAATTAAAAAGAATATTATTCATTTATCTTAACTCTTTATTACTCGTTAATATTCAATATTCATAGCATGATTTACGTATCGATAAATTACTTAGCTTGTGTGTCGAGATAATAAAAATTAATATTTTATAAAGAATTATTACAAAATCTTATTAGTTAACAAGACACAATATTTATCTTTAGTCTATAGACATTATTTTAAAGTATGTCTTGTGTTTATGTCTGTGTGTGTGTGTGTGTGTATGTGTGTGCGTGCGCATAATTAGATATTTATTTATAAATAGATTTAATCAATTTTGTTAGATGTTGACCGCTTTGAAAATTAAATTATTATTAAATATTTCTTCTTAAATTCATGAGTTATTTAATCATTATTTTTTCATAATACAATAGTTGTAATCTGATATTATTTTTTGATGTTTAATTTTTTTTATTTTTGGTTATCATATGATATGAAATATGACAAACAGAAAACAACGTTTAGAATTCGAGATACCTTGAAATGAATTACAGTGCGAGTATTATAGTCCTAATGGTAAGATCAACGAACATGGTGTTGGTGCTGGATGGGCTAAGGGTGCTTACGTTTGCAAATGTCGGAAAGGTTTCTATGGTAGGAATCATCAACAAACTGGCTTCGATGGGATTCTCGTTGAAGGTTTAAAACTTTAATCTAATAATTCTATTTTTTTTTTTTTTTTTATAGAAAAAAATTATGAACAATTTTTATTTCAGCTGCATGGAAAGAAATGCAAGAAAATATAAGCAACTCTTATGTCAAAGAATTTCAATGTTTACGCTGTGCACCAGGATGTGCCAAGTGTAAAGGACCCGAGCCCTGTTTGGCTACTTATCATTGGCCCTTTAGGTATTTCGAATTAATTTAATATTCTATGAAAAATAAAATATATATATATATAAAATATCTACAAAGAGTGTTTATTCTTAATTAAAAATTTAACTAATTGAACTTATTATTTTGAAGGATTGCGTTATTGACATTTTCAATTTTTTGCGTCTTTGATACGGTCGTCCTAGTGGCCTACATGTACAAATACCGTAAACTCAAAGTATTCAAAGTAGCATCACCTATATTTTTATCCATCACACTTTTGGGTTGCGCCATTATGTATTTGGAGGTAAGTTTCGATTAACTGTCGTATAATACGCGACCCTTATATGGGTCACTTAGTAACGAAAAAACTTCATTATACAGGATGTCACAACAAAATCTTATCACATTTCAATTACATATAATACATAGAAAATATTAATAATAAATATGCTATACAATTTGATTCGAATGTTTTTGCGAACAGTATTATATTTTCAATATTTCAACTATGTTAAAACATGATAATAATTTGCCAAACCAAAACATAATAATATTATATATTAATTAACAATATTCATGTTATAAATTGTTATAATTTTGTTAAATAAGATGGCAGCCATATTCCCAGTATTGGACATGTATTCGTGCATAGCAACAAAGTGGACAAGACATCTAGGCTTTTGTATTTCTTACACCGCATTGTTGATGAAGACGTGGAGGTAAATTGACATAGTTGACAATTTGACAAGCTTGTAACGTATAATAAACGTCTCGACAAGTTGTTAAATATTATTTTTCTGATGTCTCTCGTTTTTGTTTCTTTCTTTTCTTCTTTGTTTTTTTTTCTTTTCTTTTTTCTTTTTCTTTTTTAGAGTATCATTGACCTATCGCGTTAAAAGTGCACACAAGGTTAAACTAACGGACAAACAATTGTTACAATGGATGGTACCGATATTATTGGTCATGTTAATATACCTTGGCACTTGGACATTAAGTGCACCACCTTACGCAGAAGTAATTGCCGATAAATATGGTCTGAAATTTTATCAATGCTCGTTCAATTGGTGGGATCATAGTTTGGCAATTGGTAATTAATCGATTACAATTATGAAAGATATTAACGATTTTACGATTAAACGATTCTTTAACAAGGAACTCTATCTCGGCCCGTTTCGTTTCAAAGGGGAGATACTATTTCTCGCATGGGGCATTAAAGTCTGTTACAACGTTCGAAACGCCGAGAGTCTTTTCAACGAGGCTAGGCTGATAAGCTACGCCATTTATAACATAGCTGCGGTTAACATCGTCATGATATCAATACAGTATGTAAATAATTTAACAATTCTGAAAATGTTGAGAAATACTCATTAAATGCAATTTTATAAATCACAAGTGTAATCATAATACTATCCCTCCCCAATTTCACCCCTAACACAACAAACGTCATAGAAAAATCATTTTGAATAACGTACAAATAAATTTTGTTTTGTTGTTTCGCAGTCTTTTCATCTTCCCACACGCTGGACCGGATATCAAATATTTGTTGGGTTTTATTCGTACACAGTTATCAACATCCGTCACTATTTTTCTCGTATTTGGACCCAAGGTAATTATTTATTATTACTATTATTATATGTATTTAATATGTATATTATATATTTTATATGTATTATTATTTATTATTTTATTTTAATTATATAATTAATTAACATAAAAATATAATATATATTTTATATTATATATAATTTGTATTAGAATATATTATTATTTTTTATTTTATTATAATTATATAATTAATTAATATAAAATTATAATATACTATATTTCATATATTATATATTATTATTTTATATGTATATTATTATAATTGTTATTTAATTATTTCTAACATTCTACAATACACACATTGTGCTGTATAAGAATTTTTAAAAGGATTAACTATATATTACAGGTACTTAGGGTTCTTCGAGGACACGGTGATCAATGGGACAGTCGTGCACGTGCAAGGGGCATCACTGCTAGTTACTCATTAAATGGAATTGGATTGGTTCCTGAAGAAACGACTGATCTTTATCAAGAAAACGAAGAACTGAAGGTCCCGGTTTGATTTTATTTCATTCCTTTTTTTATTTACTTTTTTTGTTTTTTTTCTTTTTTTCTCTCTCTCTCGCTATATATATATATATATCTCCTGGGACTCTTCCTATCGATCAAGGTGTACGATTATTTTTGGGTATTTCGTTTTTATTTTATTTTTTTTTTGTGCATTAATCTTTTTAAACGTCTAATTCTATTTATTAATTTTTTCAGGAGGAAATACAAAAGTTAGCGGCACAAATAGAATTCATGAAAATCGTTCACATGGAAATGCACAACAGGCATATTAAACCTAAACCTGGTGGATATTTCAGCGCGCATAGTCACACTCATGGTCATCCTTCGACAGCACAAAGCCCGATTGCCAAAAGCTCGACTGCCAGTTTTATTTTAAGAGTATGTACCTAAGTCGTCTTAGTATACATATATATATATATAGTTTTTTCCCTAGTTTTTTTTTTAATTTTTTTATACCGATTCGTTTGACGTACGATTTAGGACAGATTTGGGTAAATCTGGTAAGATTAGAAAAATGTGATTCTTAATATTTGACTATGAAATCTTAAAGTGTACAGTTTACTTCATTTTTTTTTTTTTTTTTATAAGAATTATTATTTTAGTATTTTTATAAATGATTTTTAGTGAGTTTAATATACATTGATCAATATGAGGTATATTCATATTTTTATGTGCAACTTTAATATAATATAAAATATTATTATTATTATATATATATATATATATATATATATACTATATTGGATAATATTTATTTAAATTAGTATTATTTTTATTTTAATAATATAATATTTAAATTAAAATTTGTTAATACAACACAACGAATCAAAAATATATTAAATAATTCGAAATAAAACGGATAGAAATAGTTAAGAAATATATCAGTAAAATATAATTATTATTATATTATACTAATGTATTTCTTAACTATTATATAATATTATAATATTATATTATTA